CTCTCCCACCATGACCCATCACCCCATCACTCACCAGGGCTGTATAACATTGGCAGCTACCCAACAGCAGGGACCAGCCCTACTCCAAGCACAACACAGGATTTGTGGTCCCTGAATCCACCTGGCCGACTAATGCAAGCTCTTTGTGGTGGCTCATGGAATCCTAGAGGCCTTTGGTCCATGCGTAGGGCTCAGGTGTGTGGCAGGCACCTGAAGGCTAGAGAAAAGTGGGTCTAGTGTCTCCTTCCCCAGGCTAAGCAGAAGAGACCAGAAGGGTGAAGCGTGAGGTGCTTTGGTGAAGGGTGCCATCACAGCTCCTGTGGCACGCCCAGGTGTGCAGTCCTACTTGTTGTGGATCACAGTCAGGGGCTGGGTGCTCAGAGACACCACACTGCACAGCGAACATGAGTAAGTCCCAAATTTGATCCCAATTCTGGGAATACAAATCCAAGGAATATTTTTTAGGATTGTGCTTGAGTTTTCTATCATCAAGGAGTATTCAAGGCAGAAAGGATCTCAAGGATTGTTGAATCTGAAAGGGGTCTTTGAAATGTGTCCCAGTGTTTTAGACCAGCATGTGTCAAAATTAACCATGCACAGGAGACTACTCAAGGATCTTGTTATAAATGCGTATTTTGATTCACAAGGTCTGGAAGGAATTCATTTCGGATAAGCCCCTCCAGCAAAGCTGATGCTGCTGGTACTGTGACCACACTCTGGGTAGCAATGATGTAGACTGCAGGGCTATTGCACCGCAAGAGCTTCCACGGAGAGCTGACTTCATATTGATCTTGGTGTTCCCGGAACCCTGTCCAGGGCATGTCTGACACACAAGGTTCTTGTGAGATGAATGTGCATCACACGAGGCTCCCACAGTTTCAACAGCACACATGTCCTGTGTGAGAGCTGTGTGCCAGGACTCCACTGGGCAACTCAAGAAAATAGAGGAGAACACAGGCAAACAAGTAGCACCCAGCACTGAGTTCTCAACAGGGCCAGGCTCACACTGTCCCACTCACTCACCCTCTACAACAGCCCAGGAGAGTACTAACAAGAATCAACACATGTCTTATAGAGGAAGGGCCAGAGGGCTGGAGAAGAAAAGAAACTCATCCCCAGCCACCAGCCGTTCGTGACCAAGTCAGGAAGCAAGCTCCACTCTCTTGGCTGAGCTATTCTCTGCAGAGTTAATAAAACTCTAAAAAGCGGAGGGGAATCCCGTCTAGGGAAGGGGTGCCGGCAGATGCCAGGGCTTGGCAGCTCATATGGAAGCTCTGGGTCTCCAACTCATTGGTGCCACTCCATTGTTCTCTTTTCATGAGTGGAATGAGTGGGCAAGACTCAGGACTTGGGGGCAGCCAGCTGGAAATTTACTCAGGGTCTGACATCTGCTTGGAGCAGCTCAGGAGCACTTGCACAGGGCAGCCCCTGCAATTTGAACTCCAGCCATTTGCCTGGCTTTGGGGCCGTGCTGGTGAAGTGTGGTAAAGGACACCCACAGGCCTCTGCCTGTGCCCCTCTCAGGTCCTCAGAACTCTCTGTGGTTTGGCTGTCAGCTTTGGCTTTATCCTTGTACATATGTTGACTTCACTTGCGCTCCCAGTCAAGTTCAGATTGTGTTCACAGCAGCTACAGTTATGTCAACAACGTGCAAGGCCAGTTACCAAACAATCCCCTCAAAGGCTCAAGGAAAGAGATGGTCAGCTCAGGGCTTGCTGTGGTTTTTCAGCTAAGAAGTTTGGCCAGGATCTGAGAAAATAGAGGAAAATCACACTTCTCCTTGGGGGGGAAATCCCACTTCAGAGAAACAGCCTAGGCATGGTGCTGGCTTGCTGGCCATAGGGCTAAGTCCAGTGTGGCTGTCTCCTCCCACCAGCATTTCTCTCCCAGCTCTCCAAATGTAGCCAGTAATTGACTGATAACAAGAGCTCAGATGACAGTGAAATCCAGGTGCCTGGTGCCCAGCAATTACTGTTCCCACACCCTACCCAGTAACAACAGCTGCTCTGCCATGGTTTCTCCTCCAGCCAGCCATGCTGGCTGTGTGCATTCCTCTGTAAATTTGGTCACCTGCTGCTTCGGGAACACACAGATGAATGAATGCCTGGGATGAATTCAGTGAGTTCTACGTAGGTATCTAGAGCTGAAGGTCCAGAGAGAGGTAAGACATGGTCTTTCCCTCCTAAGGCCCACTGTCCATTGAGGAAGACAAGGTTGGGGCAGGATAGGAAGAAGGTTCCCACATTTGTTTCATCAGCATTTGTGATTCAGTCATGGGACTTGGTTTCATTCAGAAGGGATCCCAGGGGCCCAGCCCAATGGCTTAGTAGTTAAGTCCTTGTCTTGCACTCACTGGGATCCCATATGGGCACCAGTTCATGCCCTGGCTGCTCCACATCATGTCCAGCTCTCTGCTTGCAGCCTGGAAATGCAGTAGAGGCTGGCCCAAGGACTTGGGCCTTGGGACCCTGTACCTACATGGGAGACTTGTAGGAAGCTCCTGGCTTCAGATCAGCTCAGCTTTGGGCATTGTGACCACTTGGGAAGTGAATCAATGGACAAAAGATTATTTTCTCTGTCTCTCCTTCTCTCTGTAAATCTGCCTTTCTAAGAAAAATGCATCTTTAAAAGGAAGAAGAAGAAGAAGGGATCCCAGGAGACAGGTATCAGTAAGCCCTGCAATGGCCATAGCTGGGCCAGGCTGGAACCAGGAGCCAGGAGCTTCCTCCAAGTCTCCCACGTGTGTGACTTGGGTCATCTCCCACTGTTTTTCTCAGGCCGTTAGCAGGGAACTGGATCACAAGTGGAGCAGCTGGGACATAAAATGTATAGGATGCCTGCATAAGATGCCAGCATCACAGAGGGCAGCATTAACCCCTATGCCACAATGCTGATTCCTGTTTTTTTCTAGTTAACGGACCCACAGATCAGGATCATTCCTGGGGCAGGTAGTTGGAGGACTAGGTGGTGGTACATTGAGAAACCTGAGTGGTCGAGCCCTCGTACCCTCTGCCCAAAGGGGCAGCCCAGCCATGAGTCTTTGTAGCTCATGTTGTGTCTTCATGGACTTGAGTATTTCCCATGGACCCACAATTGCCCACCATTCTTTCTGCTAGTAGAAGTAGGGTATGTTAGGGCTCACAAAACTGCATCCCAAAATATTCCACTTTGTCTCCAAAAGGAGTTACAGCTAGGGGTAGCCAGAGCAGGGAAGGCTGGTCTCCAAAACTCCCCAAGCTCCCCAAGGGACACAGATGCCAAGGAGGACACTTCCAGATCTCCATGAAGTGTCCGCCCCCAGGGATAAAAATCCCCATCTTGAAGAAGTCACTGAGAATCAGACACCACCCCCAAAGCCCAGGAACCTGTCTCAGATCACTACCTGCTCTCTGGACTCCTTCGTACGCCCTGAACATCATTTCCTGCCCCTAGAAGACCACAGATAGCCTGCCCTTCCTCTTCCCTCGTCCCTGCACAGAGTATTGAAGCCTCAGCCATCCAACACTGTCTAGGTTTTATATTTTGCACAGTGCCATGCATGGGTGTTTTGATATTGATTCAAGTGTTCTCTGCTCCTGCTCCTCTTGCCAAACTCCCCAACTGCCACTTCAGAGGGAGCATTTGAACTCCCCAAAAGACACAGCCATGTTCAGCACTTGGCAGCCTTAATGTCAACACTGTAGGTCATGCTGTAATGTTCCAAGATTGTGCTCTGGTTGTCAGAGCACATGACCTGGTCCCCATCTTAGTGATTTGTTCCTGCAGCATCTGATAGGGACCTTCACATTCCCAAAGCATTGAGCACATGTGAGGGTTGGAAAGCCAGAACCTGCTGGTGGGTGCCATGTGAAGCAGCTGTCTCCCTGACGGTGGGTGGCAGGGAAGCTGGTGCTTGCAGAGAAGATGATGGTAAGTCCCAGTTAAGCTTTCTCACTGAAGGAAAAGATGGAAGTTACCTGTTTGCCCTTGAGCAAAGAGCCAGCCCTGCCATTGCTTTGATTCCTGCTGAGCTTCCTGGAATGTCTTCCTTGCCATCTTCACAGCCACCTTACCACAGAGGTGTGGGCTTCTGTGATGTCCTAGCCACTCAATTGTGCTGCGATGGGGAAGAGGGCGTCCTCTCCTGTGAACAGTGGACCCAAAGCAAGTCTTAGCCTGGGGCTTAGGGTTAGTGCCATAGAGGGTCAGCTGGTCTACTGGACCATGGATGCTATCAGACAGATATTCTCAGTGCAGAATCTCTGATTTCTTAAGGGGCCCTTTCATTGGCTGTTATGTTAATTCCATGGGGTCCCTTTTTTCACTGAGTTCTCCTCATTCCCCCATGACCCTGAGCTCAGTGTGACTGTGAGAGTCAAGTGGGTGGTGTTTATCTTGGGTCTGCTTTTTGGATGCTCTTATTGATCCCTTCCCCATCACAGACCAGATAGTCCCCAAATACAGAGGGCACTGTGGGACGCACAGGAAGCCATCTTGTCACAGGTATCCCCATTCCCTCTGCAAGTTCAATTCCTCGTGCGCTTGGAAGCAGCTGCAAGTCACCTCGGAGCTATCCATTACTGTACCTCCCTGTAATGGCTAGAGAACTGTTCTCCTGCCTTTGATGGAGCAAGTTCACTCTATATGTGAATTAATTTTAAGTTGGAAAAAAATCTACAAATAAGGAAAACAGCGGTACACAGTTTCTTTCCTTCATGATATCAACAGACCTGAAAGGCTATATTTCCCCCCAGACAAGTTGACTGTGACATCCCAGAGTTAGAGCCAACCTACCCAGAGCAGCTTCTGACTCCTTGGCATCAGTCATGGAAAGAATCCATCTTCTTGCCATCTACCAGCTGGTGCTCCGCTACCTGTTGCCAGAGGCAAAGAGGAGCCACTGACGGATGGAAGGACCTGAGTTTTTCTGATGCCTGCTTGCCCATCTTGCCTCCCTCTTCCTGTCTCTCTTCCCCTGGAAGAATGACCAATTGCTGTTCCTGTCTATGCTTGTTGTTTAGAAAGCCAAGCTGGGGCCCGCTGGCAATAAGGTGATCAGTTCCTCAGAAGACCGGAAGCCTTCCAACAACCTGGACAGAGTGAAGCTCACCGACTTCAACTTCCTCATGGTGCTGGGGAAAGGGAGTTTCGGGAAGGTGAGGACGGTCCTGTGCAAGGCAGAGGGGCTTATCCAGGGTTCGCAGGCTGGGGAGGAGGCGGAAGGAACGTGTTGCACTTGGAGATACACAGAACAACTCATTAGGTCTCCCTACTGTTTGTGCCCATTCTTCCCATGATTCCTTCTTGTTGCCTGAAAAGCAACTGTATGCTTTGTGAGCCACAGCAGCAGAATGAGTGTTCCAGAACACTGGCTGAATGAGTTATTTCTACAACTAGAACATAAACAGTGACTTAGGTAGCCATGCAGAGGCACCAAAACGGGGTCTTCCACAGCCAGGCTGTCTCTAGCTTCACTTGCATGGTCCCCCTCCTCATGATGGACCCAGGAACCAGCTTCAGTCCTGCCCTCCTCTTTGTCCAGGTTCCTGACTCATGAGATTATAAAGCTCAGTCACATTTCACCCAAAGAATGTGCTCCCAGACAACTGATTCCTTCCAGTAGCCAAGTTGCAGCATCCTATGTCAGCACACTACATGGTACATAGCGCATGGACACCAGCAGTGTACATGTCAGGCACATGCTTGAGGGGTTTGATTCATGGTGATGTGCAGTATTTCAGACCTGGCTTAGACATTTCATTCATGTGTTTCTATCACACACTCTGCAAATCCACATGAACTGTTACCTGGCCTCCCACTCCCCAGCCATCCTTCCACAGACCAGGTGTCTGCTCGGAAGTGATCAGCCAGCTGGGCCTTGGTCTGTCCTCAGGTGATGCTGGCCGACCGAAAGGGAACAGAAGAGCTGTACGCCATCAAAATCCTGAAGAAGGACGTGGTGATTCAGGACGATGATGTGGAGTGTACCATGGTGGAAAAGCGGGTCCTGGCCCTGCTGGACAAGCCGCCCTTCCTGACGCAGCTGCACTCCTGCTTCCAGACAGTGGTAAGGACATGGGGTACCCTTGGGGCACCAGCTGAGCCAGTGCTGCCTACAAGAAGGCCACAGGAGGCAGGATTGGCCCTTATTCCTCTGCCACGGGTATACTGGGGACATCTGTCCTCTCTGACATCCTTGCCTCAAGGCTTGGGATTCGTTCCATTTAATTCAGCATCTGAGTGATGAGTGCCACATTCTCAAAGCCAACAACTTGCAGAGCAGAAATATTAGGGGGAAAGTTGCATCTTCACTAAACACATGCAGAATTGGTCTTCACCTTGTCCCCTGACTCTTGGGCTGGCATTGGCTTTGTGTGGCATGTTAGAGATGCTCTGAAGCTAGTTTAAAGCACATGAGAGAATGTGTACAGGTTAGGTACAGACACTAGGCCATTTTCTATCGGGGACACCCAGGAGAGAGCCTGGAACCCATCCCTTGGCAGTATTCACAGGGCTCATGCCAGGCTTGGTGTTAAGACCCCAGAGGTATAGAAGCATAAAACTCACTCACAGTCCCAGCTGTTTAAGACTGCTGGTCCAGCTGCCAAGCACAGCACCAGGACACTGGGAGACTCAGCTTCTTAAAAAGGATGCGTTCTTGTTTAACTGTGACCTGCTGTCTCTGGCCAGTGAGCCTGAAGAAACACCCACTTCCCCCAGAAAACCCAGACGACATTATCTTGTGTGAAAGTCACATGAAGTTCAAGTTTCCGGTCACCCCTAGCTGCTTTTGCATGTGATGAAGGTAGAAGTGAGGACGGCAGATGTAGGGAACCCACGGAGCATTAGATGCTTACTGGGTAGGCCTCTAAGGAAAAATGTTGTTGAACCCTGTCACAGAAGGCCCTGACCAGTCAGATGGGGACTTGCCAGTGGCCCCAAGGAATCCCACAGTGAGGCATTGCCAGCGACAGCCTCCTGTCCCTCTTTGCATGTGACTCACTAGTAGTAGCTGCCCTTGTCCCTCTTAAAATGATTATCTTCAACTGGTCAAGAAGGCAGCTTTGTATTTGATGTTTTTCTTTAAAAGCTCGGGGGAGGAGATTCTCCTGGGTGGCCAGCTCGCTTCACAAGATCAGCATCACAGTACAGTTACAGCCTGGAGGCACAGAGCAGGCTACAGTGGCAGGTGCCAGCCGCTGAGTGGCAGCCGCGAGCTGACTGAGCTGGAGGCAAACCAGTCGCCAGCCCAGACCCGGTAACCCTGGTTACAAGATACCGGAAAGCTGCAAAACAAAGAGGGAGATGAAATTAAAGTCCGTAATGGGAACGCTGGAGAGGGAAGCTCCCAGAGCCATTTTCTGACTATTAGTACCAGTTTCATCCCTTTGTTTTGCTGCCTCTGCAACACTTTAATGCTTAATAACCTCTGTGAGATGGGGATGTTTGCCGGAGGAGAACAGAGGTCAGCTTTTACCTTGGTAGGCTGCATTATTAGAGTTTTGGTGGGTTTGGGGTTTTTTTTTTTTTGAAGATTTGTTTATTTAAAAGGCAGAGTGACAGATGCAGAAAACACATATGGAGATCTTCACTCGCAAAATGGATGCAACTGCTGAGGCTGGGCCATATCAAAACCAGACCTGAAACCCCACCCGGGTGTCCCAGCTGGGTGCAGGGATCCAGGCCCTCGGGCCTTCTTTGGCTGCTTTTCCCAGGTGCATCAGCAGAAGGTAGATTGGAGGCGGGACAGCCGGGACTTGAACCAGTGCTCATATAAGATGCTGATGCTGTGGACGGTGGCTTGATCCCTCTGTGCCACAACGCTGCCCCTGCTCTTGTATGCCACTGTTAGCATGGTGTCCTCACGAACACACAGACATAGTGAGTCTACGTGTCATGAGGCCGACACGTAGAACACCTGTGACACAAGGCAGAAAGTCAATACTAGGACATGTGACAGCCACAGAGGAACATTTATCAGAGTAATAACTCTTCTGTGTATGGCCTGCACTTTTCTCTGTCCAGTATGCTACACTGAGTGTGTGTAATTCATACACCCAACTTCAGCCAGTTTGCAGACATTCGTTCAGACACGTGGAACAGTAGCATGCCATGTATTTTAGACATCGCACGCCAGCCTTTCAACATTTGATGTCACAAGAAGCACTACTTAAGATGTGTTTGTTTGCCAGCACGCAGCCTTCACACTGTCTCTGGCTTAGAAATGCGTTATGAGCCTGGGAACTTGGAGGCCGTTCCTATTGTAGGGAGCTGCGTGTCACTCAAGTGGAAGACATGCTAAGAATTAATAGTTCTGAATCACATAACTGCTTTGTACACCCCACAATCCTTATGCAATAGGGCATTTCACTCATCCTTTGTTTGGGAGGGGAAAAAAAAGCAATTTGAGATTGGCACTTTGGTTCAAATGGCCAATCCTCCATCTCCAAGTGCCAAACCATATGGATGCCAGTTCATGTTCTAGCTGCTCCTCGTCCTGTCCAGCTCCCTGCCTGTGGCCTGGGAAAGCAGTAGAGGACAGCCCAAAGCCTTGGGACCAATGTGTAAGAGCTGGAGGAACTTTCTGGCTTCAGATTGGCTCAGCTCTGGCCATTATGGTCATTTGGGGAAAGAACAAACAGATGAAAGAGCTTTAAAAAAAAAGTTGAGGTGTTCCACATGGAGCAGAACTGCTAGTGTGGCCGGCCAGTGGGACATGTAAGAAAACAAAATATGGCCATGAGGAGTGAAGGGAGTCCTCTGCTCACATGTGGGGCCTTGGTCCTCAGGATCGACTGTACTTCGTCATGGAATACGTCAACGGCGGAGACCTCATGTACCACATCCAACAAGTGGGGAAGTTTAAGGAGCCACAGGCAGTGTGAGTACTGACCGTAAGTCCCTCCCTCTGGGCAGCCCACTCCCCCCAGTGGGAACCTCTGCCAGGTCAGACGCTGGAGGGCGGTTCTGGTCATTGGGCTTGGGCACCATGGCCTCCCCATGGGACAACCTTATTGGCAGAGTCCATGTGGCTGCTTTCTAAGGAGTGGTTTGATTTATTTGCCAATAAATGGAAGATGCTGCCAAATCCCAGCATCATTCAGTCCTAGTCTCCTGGATGGAACTGTTTTTCCATTTGTGCAACTAATAGGAACTGCACACCCACTGTGTACCCCAGGAGGTGACCCCTGCCCCTGGGGAGCGCCTGGTCCCAGCAGGAGTTAGAGGAGTAATTCAGCAATTGTAACGTATTCCTGTCATATAAGAGACTACCCAGGGAGCCACACAAGCTTCCTAGATTGGGGAGGGAGGGAAGCAGGTGCTCCCAGGAATGTGGGAGAGCCTTGCAAGAACCTGTAGGTCAGCATGTTCAGGAGGAGCAGCAGGAGGGGGCATTCATGGGATGAGGAAAAGGGAAAGTTTTGCTGGGACTTGACACCACAAGAGTGACAATTGACCGAGCCCTGTGGCCACGAAAGGGAGGCGGAATGGGTAGGAATGTGGCAGCTGGTGTCGGGGGATGGGGGCGGCTCAGAGAACCATGGTGGGGGAGAAGGAGCAGACTATCACCGGTGCTTGATCCCTAACTGAATGTCTGTGGGAAACTGGCTGGGTGTGGAAATCAGAATGGGGTCCTTGGTTGGGGAGAGGGAGAGAGGGAAAGCGCCCAAGGCAGGGCACATGGGGGCGTGACAACCCCTGAGAGAAGATAGGGAAAGGGGATCACATTCAGCGTGGCAGGGGTCCCCAAGATGAGCTTTGGATCCCGGAATGTAGGAGTCACAGTCTGGGAGGGAGGCTTGGGCTGCTGGAGAAGGTGGAAGATTCTCCCATGTCCATGGACAGTCAGCCATTTCCCTTCTCAGAGGCAGGAAGTGTCAGGAGTGTCAGCGGAAGTCGATGCTCACAGCAGTGTGTTTTCCTCCCAGAGGTCACAGTGGGCTCGCTTCCTGACTAATCAAGTTGGCAAATGCTCGCAGGATTCTGGTCCATGTTCAGTCTGAAAGATGAATTGGAAGAAATTTTAGCCCACCTGAGATGACCCACCCTGGGCAAGATTAACTGAAGGCAGTTGACACTGGGAATTCTGTGGTAGCAGGCTTAAGGAAGGTGACCGGGGATATCTCTGCTCTGATTTTTACTTTAGTTTTCAGAAATGCCTGTCCTTATCCCTGACTTTCACATGATTGTTTAGGAAGCACAGAGATGCTGGGATTATAAAATAGGGCAGAGCTGTAAGGAACAGGTAGCAGAAGCCCTGCCTTACAGAGTAGCATAAAGGAGTCTTATCCAATAGCCTTCTGCTGTATTTGTGTGGATGGGGGCGGGGGGCAGATCTTTTTTAAAATAATACTGAAAAGCTTGAGATGTAGCAGCCACCTGCAGCCCCATGCTTTTCTTCCTGCCCTCCCCACAACCCCACACCTGGTATGAGTCGCTCTCCATCATGGTGGGCTCCACATACATGTGTATGTGTGCTTATTTTAAGCCTCCTGGGTGTGATAATTGCACCACTACAGATCTCCCAACTTCAAAGGCTCCTAAATGGTGTGCAGATTTTTTAAAACATCCTTTGGTATCTCATCTGAGTTTCGGATATTACCCTACTAATGATTTTGAAATGATAGTAATCACTGCTCTTTATGATGAATTATTTAACGGGGTAAACTCAAGTGTGAATCATGGTGTGTGTCCCATTTATCTCAGCACTTAGGGAAGGAGCTGAATTAATTCCCTGAAGAATCTGTTATCCACTAAGCTTTGTCTTCTGGGAGTGTTTGTGGTTTCAGATGCCATGGTATCCCGCCCAGGAGTAGGGAAATGGAAATCTTGTCCACTCCACTATCACTCCTGATATGGAACACTTGGACAAGTGTTCGTTCTCTGAATGAGTATATTAGAAAGTGCATTGTAGGCAGTTAATTGCCTGTCCACCTTACCCAGGCCAGAGTACACCTGCCTCACTGTCTATTGACTGGACCATTCTTGGATGAACTGGAGTAATAAGATGGCGGGTAAAGGGCCAAGATTTGGAAGGACATGGGAGAGTGACACTGATCTCTGACAGTCCTGGAGTCTTACCTTCTTTTTGATGCTGAACCTGAAGATGAGAAGGATGTAGAAGGCCCAGGAAGCAAGCAGCCCCCTCAAGTGCACTTTCTTTTGCAGGTTCTATGCAGCTGAGATTTCCATCGGATTGTTCTTCCTTCATAAAAGAGGCATCATCTATAGGTGTGTATCAAAGCAGCCTCATGGTTTGCCAGGTCCCCGAGGGCTGCCAAGGGGCCTTCAGATGGGGAGCTGACGTTTGTCCCAAGCAGTAGAGCAGCCTGGGGACAAGTCAGGGTCACCTTCTGGTGTCTTGATTTTCTCTATGATGACAGCTCCTTCCTACCACCTTTTATCTAGAACAAAGGTCAGGCAGTGCTAAGCACTGAATTTCCGTTACTCTCATATGTCCTCAGCAGGAAAGGCATGTGGGGATCTGGGAGAGAGGCAAGGTGGAAACTGTTGGATTAGATCCTTGTTGGCATTAGCTGCCCAAAAATCTGGTGCCCATGGAAGAAAGATGTCTTCCAACATTGTGGTATGCTAACTATCTCCCCTCTCCCCATTTCATTCATAAATGAAATGACTGGTATATGGGCATTAATATGCCCAACAAGATTCGAAATTACTAACCTGTTTGCTTTTTGGAAGGCACAAAGAGCAGGTGAAACTAAGAAAGATCATTCCACCTGCTAGTCCACTCTTCAAATGGCTACAGAGGCTAGAGCTTTGCCAAGCCAAAGCCAGGCACCTGGAGCTTCTTCCAGGTCTCCCGCCACTTGGGTGCAGGGACCCAAGCACTTGTGCCATCTTTGGCTGCTTGCCCAGGCCAGTAGCAAGGAATTGGATAGAAAGTAGAGCAGCTAGGTCTCTCTAACTGGTGCCCATATGGTATGATGGTGCCACAGGCAGGGGCTTAACTCACTATGCCACAATGCCAGCCCCACAAATTCAGCTCTTAAATCATCCCCTCAGTATGGACCCTGCCATATCCCAGGCTCTGCCTTAGGTTCTGATGAGATAGAAGTAGCCCTTTCTGGTCCCTGGGCTTGTAGTCCATCCAGCTAAATGTCCTTGTGTTTAAGCAGCTGCAGACCAAGGATCTGATGCTAACCTTCTTCTCTGCAGGGATCTGAAGCTCGACAATGTCATGCTGGATTCAGAAGGACACATCAAAATTGCCGACTTTGGGATGTGCAAGGAGCACATGATGGATGGGGTCACGACCAGGACCTTCTGTGGGACTCCAGATTACATTGCCCCAGAGGTAGGGACCCCAGCCCTCCTAGCTGTCAGTTAGAGTCCATGTTGCATTGTGACAACCAGATAGACTGAACCGGACAAGGATGGAAAGAAAATGGAAGCAGGCGAGCCCCTCACACATGGGAAGGCTCCTGTCCTTTTGCGTGTGTGTGTGTGTGTGTGTGTGTGTGTGTGTGTGTGTGAGAGAGAGAGAGAGAGAGAGAGCAAGAGCGAGAGTGCTAGGTGTGTCATAAAATACATACCTTGCATAGCCATGGTCAACCTAGTTAAAGAAACACTGTTGGGTGCAGGGAGCTTGTGAAAAATGCCCTGCCTGGAGAAGCTGGCTAAGGAGGTGTTGGCAAGAATGGCTTGGGAGTGGCATCCAAGTGGATCAGGCCCCCGAAGTACACCTTAGTGTGCTTAGGAGCAAGGTGGTCCCAGAATCCAGATCTTTACGGCAGTGGGAGTGCAGTTCTGCCTTTATGACAGCACAAATGGAGGATAATTTTTTTTTCCTACCTTGTAAATTATCCTACATGGTGGTGACAGAATGAGTTATCTCCCTGGGTTGCTGTGTATCCAGCTCTCCATCCACACCCAGCCCTGAGGATGCAATAGTCCTTTTCCCAGCCAGGGTAGATGGCAACAGTGGGCAGTCATGCCCTTACAGCAGCCATGGGCAGCAGCTCCCACCTTCCCTGGGCACACTGTCTTTCATACATTGATCTTGGAGGTAATGCAGAAGCCAGACTACATAAGGTGCACTCCTGGCTCTGTGGGAATTCAGGTGTGTTCCTGAACCCCACTGGGCCCCCATCTTTTTAGTGACAACTTGGGGATAATTGTATCATCTGTGTACGCTTGCTTTGAGGACTGCAAGTACCTGAATAAGAACCTGCCTCTAGCATGACCCTGGCGAAAGTCCATCTGCTAGAGCGGGGAAGCTGATGTTGATGCATTTTTGAGGGACCTGTTTGGCATGGAAGCTGAGCGCTCGCTTAGAAATGCAAATTTGAAATTGCAGGAACAGAGGGGACAGGTTGCTCATTGGGCTTCCCCCCCCCCAAACACTCTTGCATTAGCATCTCCCAGGCACAGCGTGAGCCATATAGCAAGTCCTGGTTCTCAGATATGAAGATTAGAGAGGTGGGCTGGAACCACACAGCCCCTCCCGACACACAGCCTGTTCGAAGGTTTCCCACGCCCGATAGGCACCAAGCAAGCCAAGGTCATGGACCTCGCCAGCTTTGTGGGACAGCCCAATGGATGTATTACAGAAGCCTAGGGACTGAGGATGGTAGCATTTTCAGGAATAAAGGTGGCTTTGAATATCTTCTTTAAGGCCACGGCTCCAAAGATCAAATGACTTCTGGCACTGAGCCCTGAGAGATTTTCCTTATCCTTAAGTCTTCACGCCTGAGAAACCTTGTCCTTTTTATCTTGTTCAGTACTTTTGCATGTAGTCTCCTGTCACCACAGTAACAGTCACAGCTCTGCCAGCCTAAAAAGCAAATGGAAACTTGGGTGTGACACAGACTTGCCATCTGACACTTGGAGAGGCCAGAACCAGCTCCTTCTGGAAGCTTTCCAGGGAAACCTATCTCCTGGCCTTTCCTTACCCCTGATAAGGGTAGGGAACATTTTTTTCCCTGTCTATGGCCATTTCCTAGGCTATGCAAAACCAGCAGCTGAAAAATCAGCCTGCTGTAGATGTATGGGATTTCAGGTCCCGCCAACAGTTTCCTTGGCAGGCCCAGGCCACGTGAGCTCATGGCCTATACTGCCCACAGGCTGAATGGTCTCTATCCCTGCCAAGGATGCCCACATACCTGGCCAGTGACGCCCTCCCCACCCCCTATGTCATGTGACTACTGCTGTTCTCTCTCTGACCTTTTCAGCCCCAAGTCACTGCCCCTTCTGCCCACAACAGGCCCTGGTGATGACTCAGGAACCCTGGGATCATCCACCTGTTTCAGCATCCTCAGTATACAGCCGCAGTCCTTAATGTCCCATCATGGCAGTGTGTTCACAGACTTTGGGGATGGGATGTGGACATGGGTGGGGGACAGTGACATCATTTGGTCTGTCCTGTGCATGGGGATAGCATTCTATCCAGGACAGACACCCCACCTTCCTCCAGCAGTTATGCATAACCGTACACATGGCACATCTCCATAACTCTGGGCCTCCGAGAATAATAAGTTCTTGCTCTACATTACGTCCTTTTTGCAGTCATCATGACTCTCCTTAGACCCACTGTGTGTGTCCTAAGAGAGGGTGCAGCTTCCACTTCTCAAGTGCCTGCAGTATGCAAGGTACGTAGGCATTTAGCCCTCAGCCCACACCCTGTAGGGATGATGGATTCAGACCCGTGTTCCAGATGAGGTGACTGAGGCAGCAAGTAGCCTGGTCGAGGCCGTCTCGTCAGCAACCACAAAGCCTGGACTCCAAGTTCAGGCCACCTCCAGGCCTTTGTGCAGCTCACCGTATCAACCTGCCTACAACCTGCCCTTGGTGTGCGCTGCCACTGTCACATATGCATCACTGTGCCAAGCCTGGTGCCACCAGGAAAACAAAACACATCAGAGAGGGGCTAGCCAGGCGTTTGCACCTTAGAAGAGGTGATACCGTGCAAACAGGCAGGACCCAAACACTGTGTTTAGATCTCAGTTGACCTTCACAGAAAAAAAAAAAAATCCACCTTGCTTCATGAAATCGATCCGCAATCACTTGCGCTCATTTCACCTTCTGCCAGCATTTTTCCTCATGGCATTCGGGGAGTTGACATTTGTGCCCGCACGCATAGCTGCAACAGAGTGTACCAGACACGTTCAAGGTTAAAATAATCCCATCTCCTGTGTAAATCGTCCTGTCGGGCAGATGCAAAAGAGTTACCTGAGATGGCATTTACCTTAGCAGGCCACACAGAGGCGTACATGTTCATGGCTATTTGTTCAAACACCTTGAAATCAATTAACACTCCAGCATCTCCTTAAGCAGCCCAGGCAGGTGGAGACAGGCAGCAGCACCCACAGCCGTGAGCAGGTGCCCATGGAAGAGGCATAGGGTGGCAGACACAGGAGAATGAGAAGAGAAGGCTGATGGAGAATGTTGTCAGATCTCACATTCCCTGTGCCAGTCAGTTAGCAGGTATGGGAGGGGTGCCGGCAGCAAGCATCACAATTCCAGGTTGCAGCAGTGCCTGCTCTTTCCTGGCACAAGAGCCCTTGCTCCCGGCAGTGTCCTTCTGTGTACTCTACTGCGTGGGAGCCAGGCTTATTCAAGTGGTGCCAAGTGGTATCTCCCTCACAGCCTCACTGCAGGACGGTTAGGCTAGACCATGCACTTGACTGGCTGCTCTGGGCATGTCCTCTGAGCAGAGCCTCTGAGAGCCTGGTATTTCTGCCACCCATGATGTGTTGTCTGCAAGCTCATGAGAGAACAAAGTAGTCAACCTGAGCACTTGTTTGGAGACTGTCTTGTCACTGGCAGCTCACGGGAGAACACCCAGACTGGAATCAGGGCTGAGTTGTGCTCACTCGGACATAGTCAGCGACTGGGAATCATGCCCAGCTGTTGACCCTGGCATTTCCCCTTGTAGGGAAACCAAGGGTGAGCCAAGAACACTGCTGCTGCCCACAGTGGCACAGGCCTGGGGTGCCCAGCTGGAAGGCCCTCTTTGCCAACCTGCTAGGTGGTCCTTGGGCCTGGAGACTGTTTAGAATGTTGGCTGAGACCCAGGGAGGGTGGATACAGAGACATAGCTGAGATATATCCTTCTGGGCAATGACAGATGATCCCTCTACATGACCAAAATCACCAAGGGAGACATTTGGGGGTGTGCTCGCCCACCCCAGGGCCAGCTACCACTCAGTAAGGGGCAGTTTCCTCTGCAGGGTGAGCACTGAATGAGACCAGGGGTTTGGACAACGGTCCTGGGTGTGGCCTCTTGGCCATATCCATACAGGAATTCCAGTTCAGTGATGTGATGCCCAGGGATGCCTGTGACAGCACCTGGACACCTGCATTCCCATGTGGCAACCGCCCAGTTGTTCCAAGTGGGCTGTAGCCTAACAGTGAGAACAATAAAGTTTACAAGATAAGATTTACTCAGTGGGCCATCAGCTATGACCTTGCTTCAGGAGGCTTTCAGGGAGGACCCACCCATCAGGTAGGAGTGGAAAGACCCAGCGAGTCCCGGGAGATAGGAGGAAGCAAGAGATGTTGGTGTGGGGAGCCTGAGGAAGGCACATGTCCATGAGTTAGAGGTGGCCAAGGATGCAGAGGTCCAACAGACAGGCACAGGGGCAGGGTGGGGAGAAGAGAAGCTACCAGGAGCCAGTGGTCCTGAAAGAGTAGCAGCATCTTTGGGGACAGTAATGCCTGGGGTTGAGCAGCTCCAGGAGGTAGACAGGAGTGCCTATCTAATCCCCTCTCCATGCCCCAGGCCCGGAAAAGCAGGAGATGGCACAGCAGCTGTCCAGCTTGGTGCCCATCCCCAGTTTAGCTCAGTAGTCCTGGAGCAGGAGAGCAGGAGTGGCTTAGCGCTGGGCACTGTCCAGGAGCGGCCAGGTGCTGAAGAGCCCAGAAACTATTGAGGAAGAGGGGATATAAGGGGGTTGTGTGAGGGGCTGGAGCCAGCCCCAGGAGCAGAGCTAGAGGTAGTATTGGGAGCCCTTGGTTTTCTGCCTTCCCACTACCCCCTGCATCTCAGCTCCCTTCTTCCTGAGCCTGATTCTGAGCAGAGCTGGACTTCCTTGCCACTCATTGGGCCTTAGACATCCTCCTCCCCTGGACTGTGCCTCCTCACATCCCCTGTCCCACATGTCCTGCCCTGGGTGTTCCAATGGCTCCCCACTTCTCTCTCCTTCAGGTCCATGTCCAGATGTCACCCATGCAGGTCCCCTGTCCTGGCTGACCTCCAGTGCACACTCCTGGTTTGTCCTTGGTGTGTCTCCTTGGCCCATGATGGATGGACTGCATGTGCTCGGATTCTCTCCATTTGTCCACTCCATAAAGCTC